CAGCATGTGATAAGCACAGAAATCTAGTCTTAGATATAGAAGACAGACAGATATAAATTTGTCGTTTTGACTTGTGATTGTGATAGAAGGTTGTCTGAATGGCCACAGAGAAGGGAGCATCAGCTTTAGTTTTGAGAGTTAGGATGTCTTCTCAGAGCAGGTGACTCTTGGGCAGAGTCTTGAGGTTAGAAGTTTGTAGAGCAGGGGTGGGTATACAGGAAGGCCCACCAGGCAGAGGGAACAGCATATGAAAGTCATAGAGGCATTAGGGGTACTTTTTGTAGTGTCTGCCCTGTGACAAGACCTGGGTTAGGTGCTGGGACTAACCAAGTGAACAAGGCCAAGGCTCTGCTCATATGGAATGTGGCAAGTTTGGGGCCTGGGAAGTAGCCCTTTATGAGTGGATTATAGAAGCTATGCGGGGCAGGGATGACAAGGGGAGGAGGCTGGAGAAGTAGGCAGGAGGCCAGGTTTTTGAAGGCTTGAACTAATGACGATGATAGAATGGATATGGATCAGGGGATGGATTGAATGCATTCAATACCTATTTAGGAAATAAAGGTAATAGAGGGCTTCCCTGGTGGCTCAGCAGTGAAGAATCCACCTGCAGTGCAGGAGATGTGGGCTAGATCCCTGGGTTGGGAAGATCCCCTGGAGAAGGAAATAGGCAACCCACTCCTGTATTCTTACCTGGGAAATCCCATGGACAGTGGAGCCTGGAGGGCTGCAGTTTATGGGGTCATAAAAGAGTCGGACATGACTTAGCAATTACATAACAATAGAAGGTAATAGAATATGGGGACCAGTTTGATATAGGAGTAAGGTGAAAGAATGAATGATGATCTTTTTTGCTGGAAAGATGGCAACACTGTCTAGAACTGAGGTTGGCAGACTTTTCCCGTAATGTGCAATATGATAAATATTTTTGGTGTTGCGAGGTATGTGATCTCTGTCTCAACTACTCAACTGTGCCTTTGTAGCTCAGGAGCAGCCATAGAAAGTATGTAAATAAATGGCTGTGGCAATGTTTCAATAAAACTTTATTTACAAAGACAGGTGGAGGCCAGATTTAAACCACAGGCTGTAATTTGCTGCCCCCCTGCTCTAGAATCTTAAATACAAGTGGAGGAACAGATTTTTGGTGGGGTGGGACAGGAAAAACGGTTAGCTCAGCTTTATACATAGTAAATTTCAGGTGAACCGTGGAGCAATCTGCTAGATTTTTCACAGGCAGTTAAGCCTTTGGATCAGGAGATTGGGAAAAAGTCCAATTGAGAGAGACAGATTGAAGGGTCAAAAATGTAGAAGTGGATGTTTCTGTGGAGCTCCTGAGGTGAAGCCATGTGGGGAATGGATTAGAATGTAACGGGGATCAAGTATGAACCAAAAGGAGCCCACAGTTAAGGATAGACCTCCACACAGAGAGAAGAAATAGCCAGAAAGGTATGAATCCTACCTGTGAAGCAGAGTCATGTCACAAAAGCTAAGAAAATGAAACTTCTAATAGAACATGGTCATTGGTTATTACATAGGTCAGATAAAATAAGATCTAAAAGGAGTCCACTGCATTTGAAAGTAAGGATGCCCTTGGAGCATAAAATAATGAGGATGCCATTGGTGTTCCAATAACAGTGGAATGGTGGGGCAGAATCCTCTGTGTAGTGGGCCAGGGATTCCATAGATAGTGAGAATTTTAGGCAAGAAATGTAGGCTTTTCTTTCTTTTTTTGAAATTGAAGGGAAAGAGAAAAGGCAGTAGCTAAAAGAGTACTTAAGGTAAAAAGAAGGCTTTTAAAAAAAAATTCTTGTTCTAGTGAGAGAGAATTAAGTTCAGGGAGAGGAACTAATGGAAAAGTTGAAGATTGAGAAGAGAGGTGATAGATAGAACAGCACTCCCATGGAGATGGCTAGTGAGTACCTGTAAGTTCAGGGAACTCACTAATCCTGAAAAGCAGCTGAGTGTTTTCTCCTTTGCCCTCAGGCTGAACCAGAGACCCTCCCGATAAGCACAGCCAGTGCTCTTTCCCAGGAACACCCTCCGCCCAGTGACAGCACCTTCTTGGGAAGTGCCCAGACAGCAGAGGCAGATGAAGGTTCAAGGCCCTGGAATTGAAGGGTGGGGAAGTTGGGACCCTACTCCTGGTGTCTTCAGCTGTTGAGGATGCTGCCAACAGACCCTGTCTCTCCCTGGTTTCTGTGGTGGCAGGTCCTTGACGGGGTCACCAGGGGGCCCTCTGCCATGGCTGGTTTTGTTTCAGACCCAGAATCCACTCCTGTGCCCTTGCTTGGAAGTGACAAGAGTGCTTTCACCAGAGTAGCATCAACAGTTTCCCTTCAGCCTACAGGTTAGGATGGGCTCCAGGGATCCTGCCTCATTTCTAGATCTGGTTGTGATGATAAAGACTAGAGCAGTGAGAAGTGCTTTGCTCTAAAAACCTCAATTCTATTTGGGCTTCTTTCAGTTCTGCCTTTGGGGGATCAGTAATGTTCTGGATATTCAAATCCTATGGGTGGGGAACATGGATAAGAGTGGAAGAAATGATGGCTCCATACTTCCTTCCAGAGCTAAAGGGCTTTGCCTCTTATCTAGTACTTTCTCTTTCAGAAACTCCAGGCATCGAGAAGAGCCTGACAGAAATGGGTACTAAGACTCTGGAACTTCAGAGCCTGTGTTCCCTGCTCCAGGAGTCTAAAGAAGAGGCTGTCAGGACTCTGCAGCGAAAGATGTAAGTGGATTGCAGTCTTAGTGAAAGAGGGCAGGTCATGTGAGCAGCCCCTGGTGGGGGCAGGAATAATTCTGAATTCTTCCCTCCCTTAGATGTGATCTGCAGGCTCAGCTGCAGGCCCAGGAAAAACAGCATCAGGAAGCCCAGAAGGCAAAGGAAGTGGACATAGAGAAGCTGAACCAGACTTTGTGCTTGCGCTACAAGGTGGAGGAGGGGCCTGGAACTGAAGCCATGAAGAACTGGGGCAGCTGTGCGGGCCCACTGGGAGCTGCTGTCTCTCCAGGAATCTGGGTGGTGGGGATTTTCCAACCATTGCCCTAGTTTTGCCCTTCCTGGGGTCAGACAATTCACATATTTGGGAGCCAGCTATAGGCTGACCCATCTTCCAGGCTGACCTAGAAGTCAGGAACCCCAGCAGAGCGCTCTCTACAGGGAAATGTGCCTGGCCTGACCTAGCCCTAGAGGAAGAACTAGTGTTGGTAATTGGTATCACCTGGACTGAGCATGAGTCGGGCGTGAAATCTTAATCTCTTGGCAAGGGCTGCAAAGAAGCCAGCTCTCTCGCTGGCTTCTCACCTCCTTTTCTCTCACAGAATGAGAAGGAACTCCAGGAAGTGATACGGCAGCAGAACGAGAAGATCCTGGAGCAGATAGACAAGAGTGGCGAGCTCATAGTACGTTCGTCATCATGCCTGGCCTCTGCCTTCTGTGTCACTATAGCCAGGGTCCCAGATGTGGGAATTGGGCCCCCTGGTCTACCCTTGCTCACCACATGGGATAAAGATGGAGAGGACCTTTGAGCACTACTAGATACCTCTCCATTGTCATCCCCAGAGGCTTAGAGAGGAGGTGACCCAGCTAACCCGCTCCCTTCGGCGTGCAGAGACAGAGACTAAGGTGCTCCAAGAGACCCTGGCAGGCCAGCAGAACCCTGACTGTCAGCCCATGGACACGAACTGGATCCAGGAGAAAGTGTGGCTCTCCCAGGAGGTGACTCAGAGTTAACCAAAGAGCTGGGCAACTGGTGGGAACCTTAGGCTATGCCCCTACTCATCTGAACATATCTATAGGTGGACAAACTGAGGGTGATGTTCCTGGAGATGAAAAATGAGAAGGCAAAACTCATGGTCAAGTTCCAGAGCCACGTAAGGATTTCCATGCCATTCCAGGGCTGTTTCCCATCTCCCCTAGCAAGTTCCCTGCCATGTTTACCTTTCCCCACAAGCTATGTCATTCTTTTAAGGATAGAACTTATGCAGCCTATTTGCTTTTTAGAGAAACATCCTGGAAGAGAATCTTCGGCGCTCTGACGAGGAGTTAAAGAAATTAGATGACACTGTTCAGCATATTTATGAGGTAAAGGAGGGAGGGTGTTGATGCAATTTAGGTACTTGGCATAAGGAAGGTCTGGCTGGGGGTACTGATGAGCATAGTTCTGGTTCCCAGCATATGCTGAGAGCTGGGCCCTGATTCATTGTTGTGGGCTTCTCTGTGGCTTCCATTTTCTCCCCTCTAAGAGGGTGCTTCTTAGGCCTGGTGCTTCCTGGCCTGTGACCCTGAGCTGCCTTTTCTGAATCTCTTCCCAGACTCTGCTGTCCATCCCAGATGTCGTGAAGGGTTGCAAGGAGCTACAGGGATTGCTGCAATTTCTGAGCTAAGAAACTGAAAGCTGGAGTCTGTTTCACCCCTTTTTACCTACAACACTCCCTTATCCCAGTATCAGGACCAATTGGCTTAGAGCCAGCTCTGTTTATAAAATAAAGTATATTTAATGTATTTCTTCAGGCTCACTGAATCTTATTTCTTGGGTGGGAGGTGGGTGGATGAGCTCAGGCGGAGGCAGCTTGGTCCTTTTGCCTGGGCTCCCTACCTCCACACACCCCTCCCACCGCATCCAGAGCCACAGCCAGCTCCTGACTCCTTTTCTTGCTTCCCCAAATACTCTGGGCACTGGACTACTTGTTCCCTGGCTCACTGCCTGGTGAGAAACAGACAAGGCTTCATTCTCTTACCTTCTCCACCCGCCTCTGGGGTAGCCCTGGTGAATAAGGGGGTGAGGACAGAGAACCCTCTGCCCTGGACTCGCACACTGTTGCTGCCTGTGTTCCACCTACCCTATCTATGGTAATTGTTTACGGTGACTCTCCTTCACCAGACCAGGATTCATCCCCAACAGCCAGCACAGTTCTCTGCACAAAGGCCACTGTGGCAGGAATCAGAACAAGGCCATTTCCTGCCAAGGTGGCCTTTCCCCTGGTGTCTGGGCTCCACGAGGTGGGAGGACAGGCTGCAACTACCTCCTAGATCCCGGCAGAGTCAGTCACTCCACCTCATCGCCCCGCCTCCGTGGGCGTGGTCACAACGCGCACTCCAGTCCCGGGAGGGGGCGTGGCCAGGGCGGGGAGGGGGGGCCGGCCCCGCCCTCCGGGGGGTGTCACGTAGCTCTGCGGCAGCCGCAGCCTCATTTACAGAAGCCCGGGCTGGAGCCGCAGCTGTCGCGGATCTGAACGCGAGCTGTTCCTGTGGCTGCGCAGCTACCTCGCTGCGCACAGGTGAGCCCCGGGAGTTGCTCAGCACTCCGCTTCCTCTCCCTGACTCTTCCCTCTGCCATCCTTGCCCTGCTTCTGCGGGGCCCTGGATGTGCCTTCTCAACTCTCTCCTTTCTGTCCACTCCACGGCTCAGCTTCTCCCACAGCACCTCTTCCTTTTAGCTCTGATGCAGCTTTTCCGATTCCAAATCTTCCTCTACCGGCTAGACTTTTCCACCCAAACCGTTTTAACCTCAGCCTTCTTCCTCTCCTAGGCTGAGTTTCCTCTCCAGTTCTCCTGCCTTCACGGTCCCCCTGAGCCAGGTCCTTCTCCCTGACTAGTTAGCCTGTCTCACCATTGTCTCCCCATAGGTCTCTTCCCTCCTTATCCTGTATCTCTTCCTCCCTTTCAATCCTGAGCCTCTGCTCCCATTCTCCCAAGGAATGGAGAAGAGGTTATGGAAGCCTGTGGCTGTTCTTTTTGTTTTGTTTTTTTGCACCACTGCTACTCCCTACCCCCACCCTTTTCCTCCAGAAGCTGAGGGAAGAGGGATGATGGGTACTTTTGCCTCATTCTGAAGCCTTGGAAGTAAGTGCACCTTCCCTCAAGGCTCTGCTGAGTGACGATGAGAAAAGGGAAATTGGAATGGCCAGGGCTTTTGCCTACCTGAAGAAGGGACTCAATTCAGTGAAAGAAAGACTGGCATCTTTATTGAGGCAGTAGTTTCATAAGAAGACCTGTAGCTTTGGTGCTGTTCACCTCCCTACCCCCACCCTGGGGCTGGGAAGGGTGCCCGTCAGGGACAAAAGGAGATGTGGGAACTGGGGCCCCGAGCCTGTTAGCTGCTCGAGAGACTGGTGCCATGTTGATGTCCAGGATCTGCGCCAAGGACTGCCGCTCTGTTCCCAACCCCTGCTTGTTGGGGTGGAAGGAAGAGGCCATTTGGCCCACATGGACAGGAGAGGAAGCAGAGGATGTAGGGTGGGTGGGGTCCAGCATTTATACCTTGTCTCCATTCCACAGAACTGTCACCATGCCCCACTCGTATCCAGCCCTTTCTGCTGAGCAGAAAAAGGAGTTGTCTGACATTGCCCTGCGGATTGTAGCCCCAGGCAAAGGCATTCTGGCCGCAGATGAGTCTGTAGGTAGGTGGGGCCCTGTGGTCAGGTGGGGAAGAGGTGGCCAAGGAGCTTGGGGATGACCTTGCTACCCTACTTCGTTTGCCCCTCCCCAGGCAGCATGGCCAAGCGACTGAGCCAAATTGGGGTAGAGAACACCGAGGAGAACCGCCGGTTGTACCGCCAGGTCCTGTTCAGTGCTGATGACCGTGTAAAGAAGTGCATCGGCGGTGTCATCTTCTTCCATGAGACACTCTACCAGAAAGATGATAATGGTGTCCCCTTCGTCCGCACCATCCAGGATAAGGGGATTGTCGTGGGCATCAAGGTGCAGCCACTGGCCCTAGATGGGGGCTGAGCGTGGAAATAGGTGTGTGTGGGGGGGGGTGGCAAACAGGGTCCTGCCTGGGTTCAGTTCTGTGCCTGTGTTTCCCCTTCAGGTTGACAAGGGTGTAGTGCCTCTAGCCGGAACTGATGGAGAAACCACCACTCAAGGTACAGGAGGGGTGGGCTTCAGGACTGCAGAGTTGTTGGGTGGCTGCTGCCAGCAACGAGGGACAGAATAATGAAGTTGGCACTCTGCCTACAGGGCTGGATGGGCTCTCGGAGCGCTGTGCCCAGTACAAGAAGGATGGCGCTGACTTTGCCAAGTGGCGCTGCGTGCTGAAAATCAGTGAGCGCACACCCTCAGCACTTGCGATTCTGGAGAATGCCAATGTGCTGGCCCGCTATGCCAGTATCTGCCAGCAGGTGTGCCTATGTGTGTGAGAGGTGGTCAGATGGGTGTTCTGTGCCTGGTGGCGAGAGGGTTACATGGCTTTCTTCCATCCTACCTCCTGCCCCTCCTAAGCTACTCTGCTCTTACCTGCAGAATGGGATTGTGCCTATTGTGGAACCTGAGATTCTGCCTGATGGAGACCATGACCTCAAACGTTGCCAGTACGTTACAGAGAAGGTGAGTCTGCACCTGGGCACAGACATACACCACAAGGAGAACCTGACAGGGAGCCTGTGCTCCACAATCCCTGGCTCAGATGCAGACACTTTCCTCAAGCACATTTTTACTTGACCCCAGAACGTACCTGTGAGTCTGGCCTGTATCCACTCTCACAGTCATACCCACTCACCCCTAGCCAGGGAACATAATGGCAGGGGTCCAGAACCTTAGTCAACCTCCTCTGATCCCCAGGTCCTGGCTGCTGTGTACAAGGCCCTGAGTGACCATCACGTGTACCTGGAAGGCACCCTACTCAAGCCAAATATGGTGACCCCTGGCCATGCCTGCCCCATTAAGTATAGCCCAGAGGAGATCGCCATGGCAACTGTCACTGCCCTGCGTCGCACTGTGCCCCCGGCTGTCCCAGGTACCACTGATTCCAAAGCTGTTCTTATCCCTAAGACCCATTCTCAGGTTCTTGTGGTCTCCAGAAGTTCCTTACCCTGGAAAATAAGGAGTGGTCAATCGGTTTGTCTCCTCTTCTCTGTCCTAGGAGTGACCTTCCTGTCTGGGGGTCAGAGTGAAGAAGAGGCATCTCTCAACCTCAATGCTATCAACCGATGCCCCCTTCCTCGGCCGTGGGCCCTTACCTTCTCCTATGGGCGTGCCCTGCAAGCCTCTGCACTCAATGCCTGGCGAGGGCAACAGGACAATGCTGGGGCCGCCACTGAGGAATTCATCAAGCGGGCCGAGGTTGGGAGCTAATGGTGGTGGGTGGGGAGGTGGGGTGTAGCTAGGCAGGCGGTGGCCCAGAGGCTGTAGCCTGGACAGGATCAGGAACCTGTGGACTGGGTCGGCCTACTTAACTCCCCTCCTTTTGCAGGTGAATGGGCTTGCAGCCCAGGGCAAGTATGAAGGCAGCGGAGAAGATGGTGGAGCGGCAGCGCAGTCCCTCTACATTGCCAACCACGCCTACTGAGTACCCCTCCATACCACAGCCCTTGGCCCGACCACCTGCACCCAATTTTGCCTGTAGTTATGGCCAGGGCCAAGTAGCCATGCAGAGCAGAGATGCCTCCATCCAGCACTGAGTCATCTTCCTTTGATCTCCTCCCCTCCCCTCTCAGATTGCTGTACCTGGGACCATTGGATGGGAGGATAGGGAGCCCTCATGACTGAGAGCAGGAGAACTTGCTAGAAGTCAGAGCAGGATGCCTGGGTCTCCCCGCAGCCTCTGCCACCCCCCAAAATTTTCCCATGATGGGGTTGCTTCTCCTTGGGCTCTCCTTGCCCGCCCTCTCTCCTGGGGTCAGAGGGTAGGGCAACAGAGCTGACTCATGCTTTGTGTGCATACCACATAGCAAATAAATGGTAGCAAAACATGCTACTTTGTCTGCATTTTTTACATATATAATTTCACCTCCCAGTTTCTGATCTCTGTAATGTCTCTGAGCCATCTTGGACTGTGGAGGTGGAAAGGGTGGATTGTGTTTTACTGGGCATTAAATTTAGGGGGAGAGGGGCACATCCAGTCACTATTCTCAGCTCAGGCTCTTGTTGATGTCTGAGGTTGGAGTGAGGTGTTATGGAGGGCTGTGAGTCTTTCAGGAACTGCCACTTCAGAAGCACTGGACTGCAGCTGCAGAAGGATGGAGTGAGGCTGTGCTGTGCTTAGTCACTCAGTCATGTCCAACTCTTGGCAACCCCCATGGAATGTACCCTGCCAGGCTCCTCTGTTGTCCATGGGGGTTCTCCAGGCGAGAATACTGGAGTGGGTTTGCCATGCCTCCTCCAGGGCATCTTCCTAATCCAGGGATTGAACCTAGGTCTCACGCATTGTTTGGATTCTTTACCATCTGAGCCACTAGGGAAGCCCAGAGTGAGGCTAGACCCAAGCAACTTCTGACGGCAGCTTTTGTGCATGGCCCCAAACTTGGCAGAGAGGCAATGGGAATCTGTCACCTCTCAGCTGTGTTGACATATTCCACCAGGGGGAGCCACTACAGGAGCAACACCTGCGTTCTTGCCCAACAGGAAAATCCCCAACCTAAGCACTGCCAGACCCAGCACTTTATCTAAGAGGTTGCCAAGGGCTGCTGCTCATTCCTATCTGAGATAGATAGGGGCACAGAGGGAGCCAGTTTAAGGGTCTGGGCAAGAGTGACCTGGTGAGGTCTCATGCTGAACTTTGACCTGTTGGCCTAGGCATTGGGAATAGGTTGAGACTCTGGGTCTATCTGAGCAGATGAAAAGATGAGAGAACCTGTTGGGTGTGTTCTGTGTGAACTGCGGAGGCCATGCTCTACGTAACGTGCACAGCCAATGCTTCTCCCAACTAATTATTGCAATATGGGAATGTAGGCTCAGTGTGGCCTGATCTTATATATATAAAAATAGCTAACACTTATATAGCAGTCTCCTGACAGGCCTACCGTTATTAACTCACATACTACAACAATTCTATATAAAGTATATACTATTGTAATTCCTATTTATTTTAAAAAACAATTTTATTCCTTTTTGAGCTTCATGCATACAGGATCTTAGTTCCCTGACCAGGGACTGAATCCATTCCCCTGCAAAGTCTTAACCACTGGACCACCAGGGAATTCCCTGCTATTCCTATTTTAATATGAGGAAACAAGATTGCTTCTCAAGGTCGTTCAGGTGAAGTGGGGAAGCTGGGATTTGAACCGCATTTGAACAAGAAAGATCCAGAGTCTGTGCTCTTGAATTTGTAAGAATTTTAGTGAAGTATTCAGACTTTAACAAGTTAGGAACGAATCCAAATGAATTTTAAAACTATTAAATGAGCTAAATATGCTAAAACAGGTACTACTAGCTTGCTCGTCAGGAAGAGGAGCTCTTTATAATAGGGATGATAAACAATGACCGTGACAGGTGACTTTCCGTGTGCTCTTTATGAATGACCTCATTTTAGTCAGTATCTCCATTTTTCAGATGAGAAAATTGAAGCTTGGAGCTTCCCGTGGTAGCCCAGCTAGTATTTAACGACTGCAGAGTTTGTGCTGTTAATCCCTGGGGCTAGGAGTAGGTTCCACATGGAATCGGAGGGTGTCTTCCAGCAAAACCGAAAACCGCAGTTTCTCAACCACCCGTTGACGCCGGGGCAGCCACCTTTCAAATACCAGGAGAGGCTCTTTGTGGACCCCTCCTATCCCTCGCTGGAGAAGGAAATGGCAACCCACTCCAGTATTCTTGCTTGGAGAATCCTTTGGACAGAGAAGCCTGGTGGGCTACAGTCCATGGGGTCGCAGGAGTCCGACACGACTGAACCCCATCACCACCTTCCCGTCCCAGGTTTCCTCCCGCCGAAGTGCCGCTCGTGATTGGTCGCGACCGCGGCGGTGGGCGCGCCCCCTCCGTGCGGGTTTCCGATTGGGGGAGGCCTGCGCGGCCCCGCCCCTCAGCGGCAGGAGCGATCGGACGCAAGTATGGCGGCCGCTGGGCCAGCCGCTACTGACCTAGGTTCGGTGGCATTCGGGTCTGGGCTGCGGCTCGTGGAGTGCGAGGGAGGAATGCAGGGGTGGGGACTGTGGTGTGTCAGAGGTCTCGCGGACTGGGGGTCGGGGTTCGTCTCAGACAGGATTGTTTCAGACTCGGGCCCGGGCCCCAAGCCCGGGAATCCCTCGGAAGGCGGGCCGAGAGCCTCTGAGGATGGGTTGCCGGGGCTCCTCCGCCTCGGGGGTGGGGCAGGCACCCGAGCCCACCGCTGGCGCCTCAGTGGATCCCTCCGTGCCCCGCAGAGGTGGTCCGAGGCAAGCGCGCCGCCCTCTTCTTCGCCACGGTGGTCATCGTGCTAGGGTTGCCGCTCTGGTGGAAGACCACGGAGACCTACCGGGCCCCGTTGCCTTACTCCGAGATCAGTGGGCTGAATTCCCTGAAGGTAAGATCTCAGGGGTGGAGGACCACGGGACAGCCCGGGAGGATGGAGACTCAACTGATGGCCCTGATGCTTCTTCCCGCAGCTGCGGCTAATGGTGCCGGTCACTGTAGTGTTTACCCAGGAGTCAGTGCCATTGGATGACCAGGAAAAGCTGCCTTTCACTGTTGTGCATGAGAGAGAGATCCCTCTGAAATGTGAGTTCCTGGGGGAACAGGGCTGCCTTTCTGGTCTGAGCTCAGTCCACAGATAGATTGGCTAAGAGGAGCATGTGTGTGTGTGTCTGACTCTTTGCGACCCTATGGACTGAAGCCCGCCAAGCTCCTCTGTCTATGGGATTTCCCAGGCAAGAATACTGGAGTGGGTTGCCATTTCCTCCTCCAGGGGATCTTCCCGACTCAGGGACTGAACCCGCGTCCCTTGCATCTCCTGCATTGGCAGGCAGATTCTTTACCACTGTGCCACCTGGGAAGCCCAGGAGGAGCATGGGTACCCTGAAAAAGTGGTTAAAAGCCCTCTCTAAATGAACACTGTGTTTGCTGAGAAAAAAAAAAAAAGTTTTAAATTCAGTATTCACCATTAACATGGCAGTTTTTTTTTTTTCATAAAACAGTTGTGCCACCTGATCAGCAGCAGGTGATGCTCATTAGGGGACAGAGGAGGATGTGGGATGTAGTGGAATGAACACAGGATTTGGAATCAATTTGAACTTGTATACAGGCCTTATTCACTTTAACATTAACACTTTACTGAGTGTGAGGCACTTTTCCTGTGTGCTTAGTCACTCAGTCATGTTTGGACTCTTTGCGACCCCGTGCACTGTAGCCCCGTCAGGCTCCCCTCTTCGTGGGGATTCTCCAGGCAAGAATACTGGAGTGGATTGCCATGCCCTCCTCCAGGGGATCTTCCCAACCAAGAGATCAAACAAAGCTCTCCAGCATTGCAGGCGAATTCTATACTGTCTGAACCACTAGGGAAGCACTTTTCCTAGGTATCAGGAATTTAGAGATGAATAAGAAATTGATAATGGTTTCAAGAAATCCATAGGTAGGGGAGAGAGACAGAGAAAGAAATCAATGTAGAAGTATATAAGTATATAGAAAACAGAGACTGTACTTAAGAAAGAGACTATAACTGGGAGGAAAAAAGGTAGAGAAGGTTTTGAGGGCTGTAATTTTTTTTTTAAAGAGACAGCATTTATTTTTTTTAAACAACCTCCACATTCTTCTTTTTGGCTGTGCTGGCTCTTGATTGCAGTGTGCAGGCTTCTCATTGCGGTGGTTTCCCTTGTTGCAGAGCACAGGCTCATTAGTTGTGGCACACAGGCTCAGCTGTTCAGTGACATGTGGAATCTTCCGACCAGGAATTGAACCTGTGTTCCTTGCTTTGGCAGGTGGACTCTTATCCATTGTGCCATTAGGGAAGTCCCGAGGGTTGTAATTTTTAAGACAGATTTTTAAAGGAAGTGTAGGAATTCAGGTTAAATGAGGGGGTGAAGAAGGGATAACACTAGTTAGTAATAATGAAAACTAATATTAGTTGTTCATCATATGCCAGAAACTAGGTGAAACACTTTATTTACCTGTGTTGCCTCAGTTAATCCTAACATTATGACCTCTGTTTTGTTAAGCTTCTCTTTTTTCTTTTGTTATATATCAGCTCTTCCTAACCCATACCCCCTACCCCAAAATATATTTCTTTTCATTGATTTGTTGGAGAAACCAGGTCCTTTGTTAGGATATCTCACATTCTAGATTTGGCAGACTTTTTTTCCTCCTGGTTTCATTTAATGTATTCCTTTATTATCCTTATTTCCTATAAACTGATAGTTAGATCCAGTGTCTATTTAAAAATCAGGTTCAGGTTTTTTGTTTTTTTTTTAACTAAAAATACTTTTTTCTTTTGGTTGAATTGTGTGGCATGCAGGATCTTAGTGTCCTGACCAGGGATCAAACCCAGGCCCCCTGTATTGGGAGTGTGGAAGCTCAGCCACTGGACCACCAGGGAAGTCCTGATGTGTCCGTTCTCTATGTCTGAGTCTCTATTCCAGCATCCTCTTTTTATTAAGAATGTGTACTGAGTTTAATTCTTTTGAGGCATTTATTGAAATAATCATATGGTTTTCCTCCTTATACCTTTTCATTGTAATGAATATTATAGTAGATTTCCCTGTGGGGAGGGTACTTCAGGTTGAAGGTACACAGGGAGAGGCAAGAGCTGGGCAGGTGGACGAGGTGGAGTGCCGTGTATTTATATCATCCATGGTTTTTCAGGTGGTGCTAGTGGTAAAGAACCTGCCTGCTAATGCAGGAAATGCAAGAGATGTGAGTTTGATCCCTACATCAGGAAGATCCTCTGGAGGAGGGCATGGCAACCCACTCCAGTATTCTTGCCTAGAAAATCCCATGGACAGAGGGGCCCGGTGGGCTACAGTCCATGGGGTCAAAAAGAGTCAGACATGACTGAGCACGCACACACAGT